AAACCCTACATGTATCTGATATATAAAATATTTATGAAAGGTGAGAGTGGGAAAGGAAAAAAGAAAAAACTAGTATATATTAATATGGGGTAGCTTCTCCATTAACATCAATGACAGCTTGAAGCCTGCGAGGCATACTATCAATAAGATTAGATAGGCATTCTGATGTTATATTCCTCCATGCCCCCTGTATCATAAGTACCAAAGTATCCAGATCAGCCACCATCCCAAAGATTTGACCAAGCTCAGTTTCTCTGTCGGCCTATAAAGCTTCTATCAAATTCAAATCCAGAGATTGTGGAGGTCAAGTAATACAAGCTATCTCCTATTCATTTCATATATCCTTTGCAATACCCTTATGGCCGGGGGCATTATCTTCTACGATCATTGTCTATTCATACATCTTGTAAGCTCGTGTCCAAAATGGAAGAAGAAAGGGTAGTAAAATATGGTACGAATATTTTTTTAAGTTGATTGTAGACTCCTGAGGAACGATATAATGGTCTTACTTTAAGGTATTGCAAAAGGCACCCCAAACCATTACCGACTTTCAACCAGATCCTCAAACACAATCGATGCAGTCTAGGTGATACTCCTCATCTACTTTTCGTATTACCCAGGGCTGATAGCTAAATCCAGCTGTAGAAAAACTAGATTCATCGGTCCAAAGCATCTTTCCCCAGTCTTCTTGTGACCAATTTAGATGTTCCTGATACCATTTAACTCTTAGAGGCTTATTTTTCTCACGTATTTCCCATCTATTATTATCATAATTATTAGTATTTACTTTAAATCTTTATTTATAAGAGGCAGTCCAGGGCATCTAAACTGAAAAAAAAAAAAATGAAAAAAAAGAATTTGAAAAGAGAAAAAGAAAAAACAAGGTACTTTTTACATAATAATCTTTTATGATAACCTAAAGATGCTAAAGCATCATGAATAGTGCGAACTGAGCAACTATAACTCATTTCAACTATAATTTCCTCCCACCGAAGCCGGCGTATTCATTGATCACGAGTAATAAAAGCAACCAGTCTTTACTTTTCCGCTTCATCGAAAAGAACAGGACGACCAACTCGGCATTGATTTGAGGGAGATTTATGGATTATGGATCACTGGTACATTTTTTGACAGGTTCAATAATCAATATTCACTTCTCCGGCAATTTGCTATCCTTTTCCTTTAATCATATCATCAATTTATTACTAGGAATTCATACCTTCCAACTCAACCCTACCTGGTTTCACAGTGTTACTACCTCCAGCTGCTAATCTCGGGTGGTTTCACATCGTTTTTGGTCTCCATCTGGTTCGTAGTCTTCTCGTCGTCCTTTATTCTTCATTATAAAGGACTCGTTTGTGGGATATAGGTATCGGTGTTGAATATAGGACATATCAGAATAGGTGTTGATGGACCTGAAGGTGGTTTGAAAACTCTGCAATCCTGCTAAAACTATTTAGCATTAGCGCAATACTATAATAGTTAATTTGAGTAGTCTGAGTGGCGAGCCAATCATACCCCCCTTCGCCTCACTTACCCTTAACCCCCGGTACTCGAGTACCGGTACTACAGTCGCACCTCGCTATAATGGACCTCTTTGTATGAGAAACCTCGCCATTACGAATGAATCGTACGGGAATCAAGACCCCTGCTCCCATACAAACAGTACTCGCTATAAGGAATTTACCCCAAAACCTTGCTATAACGAACAAAACCCCCCAACTCTTAGCGTTCTTTATAACGAGGTGCGACTGTACAAGTAGAACTCGAGTGGTCGTTGTGGGGCATCCCAGAAGACCCTTGCCGCCATTTCGAGGGGGAGGGCCTTCTGAGAATTTTCCGTCCATTTTTCTTTTTCTCTTTTTCTTTTCTTCTTCTGCTCTACACGCGACTTTTAGCAAAATGCATGGCTTCTGCGTCTGATTGCTTTGGGAACCGTTCCTGAGCACCTTTTTCCCTGTTCGCCAAGACCTCTCTAACTACCTGAGCAAATTAATCCAATCATTGATCTGCTTGTACGGTAGACTATCATACTCGCGCTCGAGTACCCAGCAACCAATCTACCCCCTGACCCATGAAAAAACACCTGTTGAAGCGAAGAAAAACCGCCCCCTCAAAGAAAGAAGGGAGAGAATGGAGGAGAGGAGGAGAAGCGCTTCTTTCAGTGAAGCCAAAGACCATTCTTTTGGTTCTGAACTGCTCGAGGGCTACGGTAGGTTGCCGATACTTGTGCTAGTACCGTACCAGTATCATGCCGTGCACAGAGTTTTTCAGAGCCCAGACAAGCAAACAGTCAGACACATTTCACTTTCCACTCGAGTACCGGTTGTCCCCTGCTGCACGCCATCATAACGCTACAACTGTATTCTTCAGAAAGAAGAAAAGAAGCTACAAGTTAGGGCGAATATGAGTACCGGTACCCTACCGTACCATATCTCGCTTGGGATCGCCATCGCACCGTAATATTTATGGGGCCGGGACCCAATTCGTTGTTTACCCTCCTGTCCGGATGTGGGGACCTGTTACAATGGACGACGACAACGAATGGGAAAATGCTCTGTTACCCCCCCCCCATATCGCGTTGGATACGGACTTGAATAGGCAGGGATAGTCAGATAGAAGAGAAAAAAAGCCCGAGGGCCCAAGCCAATCAGCCCTCGTTGCAATCTACAGATACAGGTACAAGTATTGGTGGAAGCGGGCGGCTACCGCCTCCACCGCAGCCTGATACACTGTATGATACCGCTAGGCATACTACGCAGATAGACCGTAACAACTATCTCCAAGCACGAAGCAGCACCGTGTGCAGCAGTAGCATACTCGAGTACATACGAGAGAGCAGGAAGCAGGGAGGGGAAGAGAAAACACCATTTACGAATGCAGCTCCCCCCCATCTTTGACAACTCAACACCTGGTGACACTCGAGTACTCGTACATCATTTCACACTCTCCACCTTCAATTGTTTCCCGTTTCGCTAATTTCCGCTCGGTCCAATAAATGCTTCTGATCGGGTATCATGCTTGTAGCAAGGCCGGTATGATTTGGTTGCTTCCTTGTTGCGTGTAACAATTATAGAACCACCCGTTACTTTACCAGCCACGTTTTACCAAGCCCGGGCTCTCCCGTCCTGACGGGAGCAGCAGCAAAACTGACTGTTTGATTGGCAATAGGAAAACCGGCAAGGCATTGATAAATAAGGCATTTATTGCACTCGCGGAGTTTGTCGACTGACTGACTGACTGACTGACTGACTGACTGATTGACTGATTGATTGACGATGTTTGCCTGCCGTTTATTCGCTGTGTTTGCCGGGCTGTCTCTGCAGTTTGCCCTCAGCTTGGTGAAATGGATACCCTGCACAGTGCACACAGTACCGGTACTCCTTTCTACTTGCAGTAATCGACAACCTCGCTCGGAGATCACTCTTGGCGCCGTGTTGGCTGAGGGAGCTATTATTAACTACGCAGTTGTCATCGCTACGGAGCAAACAAACACCAACCGACCGACTGACCACGAATATTACCGTTCCGAAATAAACCACTTCCCCGCACCCATCCGTTTGTTACGCCTTCGGGATCGCTACGGCTGCTTTGCGCACATCACGAATAGCAACAGCGGACACCAAATTTACGGTGATCGAAAAAGAAAAGAAAAACCCCCGATTACCTGCTCATGGGATCCTCCTCTGCTTCCTAATGGCAATCGTTTAACGGGGATAGGATACATGTCAGGGTGTACTGATGCATTGGCTGGCAGTTCCTGTGGGGAGATAACATGATTACCATCGCGCACTTTTTCCTCCTAGAACAGAACGGGATTGCGAACATGTGAAGAGAGATGAAGCGGTACACGAAAAATCACTCGAGCAATTACCGGTGCAGCCAGAGATTGGTCTGATTGGTGGGAAGGGAGTGAACACATTCTACCGGTATCCGACCAATTACTCGAATAACGATGGGAGATTGATTGAGGGTGTTAACGACATTTACCGGCATACCGGTAAGAGACTAACAATGTATCCATGCCACGGAAACTTCAAGCCTGAAGTTCAGTCATGTATGGCCATGGCATGCGAGTTGACGAGAGAGGCATTGACACCTTCACTAAGACATGTCAACAATTTCTCAACTACGGAGTCTCGACGAATCCTACGAGTAGATGCTCCTCCTAGTGGGTCCATGGCTAATCCATAAGGAGATTTTGAGCGTCATCTGTCAAAGCCCTGGAACCGTGGATACCGGTTCAAGTTCCACGGCCAACCGCCACACCTTATACCGGCGCTCCCACGAATCCCAGTACCCACCATATCGCAGCGCCATGCAGATCACATCACGCTAACGTAATCCAAGCCAAGCTCAGCCAACAAATGAGAATACTCGAGTAGTGCTAATTTAAGTCCAGCGCCCCGATCCCCACACCAAGGAGGCTCTCTGCACGGGATGCGCGCCATGCTTCTACAGCAACAGAGTGGCAAGGGTGGCTGGTTTTTTGTTTGATGCACAGTAAGGGCGCGCCTAGTTGCCACCCAAAACCTTCGTTCAGACGCTACTTGTAATTGTGCTCGAGTACGGTAGGTCTACCGGGCTGTGGTGTGCCGTACGGTACTGTTTCGATAAGAGGGATGGCGCCTGGCGGTGCGGGGGCTTGAATAGGGGAATTATAGTTTGGTGTTCAGCGTCCCATCGTACAGTATCATACCGAGGGAAACTATGATATTCAATTTTTTTCGCGGGTATCATGGTACCCTATCGTCTATCGCTTCACTTTGTATTTCTACCATCTCCGGACCAGACCATCATCGTACTAGTACTAATACTTGTATAGTGCCGTAATCAACCACCACTCTCAAAGATTCAAACCCCAATAGTCGGCGCTCTCTTACCCTTCACTTTGCTCTTGCTCGACTCCCCCTCCCCTGCTTCAATCCCGGGTGCCGTCTCCTGCGCTGCAACAGCCAACCCCTCGTCAACAAAACCAGGATCCCATCACACACATGTCATCAGGATAGGGCATTTTGGAAGGGGAAAAAAAACTCACCTGCCCAAAGCGAACTGTACACGCCACCAGAATTGATAAGTTGCTCGTGTGTCCCAGGAGGCTCTGCAACCGAGCCATCTCGCAAAACTATAATTTGGTCTGTGGTTTCACGACAGATTATCAAGTCGGCCTTCTATTCTGGAAGCGCAAGGTAGGATGGATGGGGGGGAGAGAACATAAAAAGGAGGCCTTACCGCTGTCGAAAATGGTACGCAAGCGATGCGCAACGAATACGCTTGTTCGCTCTTTCTCTTTTAGGATAGAGGAGATGTTTCCTAGGAGGGCTTGCTCGGTGTGAGTGTCTAAGGCGGAGGTCTGTTATGAGTGCCGTTGGTTAGCTGTCTGGGAATTATGGAGTTTTGACTTTGAGACTTACGGCTTCGTCGAAGAATAGTAGTGGGGGGTCTTTGAGGAGCAGTCGCGAGACAGCGAGGCGTTGCTTTTCACCACCTGTTTGCCAGGGCGTCTTGCGTCAGTACTTGTCTAAGTGATGCGATTGGACCCAATACCTGAGATCATCATTCCTCGCTCACCAACCATTGTCTGGTAACCTTCCGGGAAAGTAGAAATAGTATCATGGATTCTTGCTCTCTTAGAGACATGAAGCACCTGCTCTGCTGTTGCGTCTATACGGCCGTAGTGGATGTTATGCTCGATCGTGTTATTGAACAATGGGGTATCTTGGGGCACCACGCCTATACTCCTTCTCAGCGATTCCAGGGTGACATCTCTGATATCCTGGCCATCAATAAGAATCCTTCCGCCCTGGACGTCGTAGAATCGGAAGAGAAGCCTTAAGATGGTTGATTTACTATGAAAAAATTCAGCAAGTGTGAATGTTGATTGGTGATCCACACCGGTCATGAGAACTCACCCGCAACCACTAGGACCAACAATCGCCGTCTTTTTCCCAGCTGGGATCGTGAACGTAACGTTTTTCAGAATCGCTCTGTCGGGGTGATACCCGAATGTCACATTCTCGAATCTAATCTCACCACCTTTAAGTTCCAACGGCTTTGCGTCGGGCTTGTCCTTAACTGCTATGTTCACCTTTTGCAGGTTGAAGAGAGTCTCCATGTCCAGGAGGGACTGCCTCAGCTCGCGGTACACTGAGCCAAGGAAGTTCAAGGGAACCGAAAGCTGGAAGACAAGTTGATTGGCCATAACTAGGTCGCCGACGGTTAAGTTTCCATCAATTACACCGTGACAAGCAAGGTACATCATGGCAGTCAAGGCTGACGAAAAGATGACATTCTGCCCCAAGTTTAGGAAGGCTAGGGAGGTCGCTACTTTGATAGATGCGCTCTCGTAGCCTTTGAGGGCCTTGTCATACCTGCCCACTTCGTACTTCTCATTGTTGAAATACTGCACATTTGTGAGTTAGGGGTTAGGGCACAAGCTGGAAATCGAGTGATAGCAACCTTAACGGCTTCATAGTTGATCAGTGAATCAACTGCCACAGTTGCTCCCTTGTTATCGGCTGCGTTTGCTTGCTTTCTAAATTTTGTTCGCCATGCGGTCGTTTTGATTGTGAATACTGTATAGGCCAGCATGGTAGCAGCGGTCACAGCAGCAAAATTGGGCCCGAATTTGTAAGTCTAAATGTTTTCAGCTGATATGGGGTTTCGGTAGCAAGACTGGTAGGATCCTTACCAATATCCCGCAAACCATGGATATCTCAAGGAATATAGGAAATATATGAAAAACCATGGAAGTAAGCAAAAAGCTTATTCCTTTTGTTCCTCTATCGATAGCCCTACTCAAGCCTCCAGTCTGCCTGGTAAGATGGAAGTTAAGATCTAATCGGAGCAAGTGATCGAAAACATTGCAGGCAACTTTTCGTATAGCCTTCTGGGCGACATTGGCAAACACAGCGTTCCTAATTTCTTGGAAAGCGGTTGATCCTATCCGGGCGAGGCCATCTTTTAATTTTAATGCTCAATATCTTTCACTACTTTGGCACGAGTGAAGGAAGTTAGGGGAGTCACCGTACATGCTACTATTATAGACCCGGCCGCGGTCCATACTGTTCCTCCGAGAGCCAAAAAGTCCACGTTCATGGAGTCGATTATAGTCTTGAAGTAAAATGGTACTTGGACGTTTAAAATCTAATAGATCGATGGTTTTCTTAGATTATCTGTGGGTGGGGGATTAATTTGAAAAATATGTAAACAACACGGACCTTCGCACCGACGAGAAGGCCTAGCGAGAGCCCTACACGGACTTTGACACCAAGGTTGCCCTACGATACAATTCCCCACTCAGTATTTAACCCCTTGTGACTTTTAGGAAGCGTACTTTTGGCCATAGATAGGTCGACATCTCCTTTATAATTCCCCAATCTGCCCTCCGTTGCTCCTGGGTGGTTAGGGTTGGTTCTCCAAGTAAATTCGGAGTCTTCGAAACGGATTCCGAGTGCATTGGCTTGTTTGCGGCGGGTGCCGGGAGCTTCTCTGACCGAGCAAACATTGGAAGACCTTTTTTTGGCCCGGAGCTTTCGTTTTGGAGTAAAAATTGAGTTGAAGCGAAGCCCCGCCCTAATCGAAGTGGGTAGAGTCGTGTGACGCCCCGGGAGAGTGGTGGCGAACTACGCCATGGAGCCGCCCTCGCGAGTAAGCGGGGGAGGCAAGGGGAGAGCATTCTAAAGTTTCTGCAGTGTTTCTCAGCAAGTGTAGGTTGGGGTGGGAGTGGTAATGGGAGTGGTAGGAGTGATAATCGAGGTCACTCACATGGCATAAGCTGAAATTGGTCGAGAGTAAGGAATAGGGTACTCGGAGAGGGGTGAGCCAGAAGGCGAGGAAGAAGGGTGGAGGGGCAGAGTTACTGTACCGGTACTCGAGTACTCAGGTAATGGGCCCGGTTCTACTTGTGGCTCCTGCTTAGGCACAATGACGCCAGACGAGAGCCGCATGGTATAGTATGGTTGAGGTCACCCCGCTCCCTCCTATCCAGTTCTTGCCGCGGGGGAGATTTTCCAGTAAAGGCAAAATCATCATCTACGAATGTTTGGTGATAGTTAAGTTAGAGCAAACTTATCATATTTGTATCAAAGTTGCTTCGGGATATCTCCGACCACGTCCCTACGAGTAGAAATCGCAGTGGGTTTGGGTTAGGTGCCTCTTTTGAGGGAAAAAAAGGTTGCCCCGGTCCTAAGATATGACGAAGGTCGTCCAGGGATCGGCAACATCCACCACCGCTGCGCATACTGGTAGTTATTTCAGGGCGAGTTGAGGCCCCCGAGCTTCCTCCGATCACCCGGTCATCAAGTTGCACAATGGCAGCCCGTCGACTGAACCCCTCGTTTATTCCTATGGCGCGATCCTTCCTATCTACTCCTTCGGTCCTCGCACGACTAGGTCCTTGCTCAAATCGATATGTGCACATTCGAGCTACTCCATCGACAACTGCTCTCGACGGGTTCTTAGACTTGTCGGAACAGACACAATCTATCCCAAAACTTAGCGGGGCTGGACCCTTTCCTGCTGGTATGTTAGCTGGGGGTGCTGGGTATCCACTTTTCGGTCGGGGTGGACTAATTGATTCTATGAGATTTTTAGATGTAAAATTCGAGGTCTTGGGAGCTCCATATTCATTGCTGTCTGTGGCGTTACCGGCATCCTCAGTATTGTATTCACGGAGAGGAACTTTGGTCGGTGTCAATGGCAAGGCGGGGAATGTAAAGACCCCCATCCTGGTCCTGCATTTTTGGAGCGCGAATCACTAACGGATGATGTTCGTAGGCAGTCTCAACTCTATCATTACTGGAACCTATTCGACGGTCATTTCTGCGGATACCATTCCTCTATCAAAAGGTCAGTCTCGCAATTTAAACCAATCTTTCAGTGCATCATCAAATATTAAAGAATTGTCGGTTACAGATATCCTCCACTTCCCCACTCACATGCCTAATATCAACAAACTCACCCAATACAACCTTCGGTGTCATCGAATTAGACGGAAAAGCCGACTGGATGGTGACTCAGAACGATGCGTTGCTAGCATGGACCGGCCATTCGATATCCGCAAAACCCAGCGTCAGTTCAAGAATGGTATTCCATCTTGATATCAGCCCCTAAAGCAATGAGAACAAGGAATTTGCTAATAATCGAAGAGCCTCGCCCACTGGGGAAACTCCAAGCTCACGGGTAGAGGTTTAGTCGCACTAGTTGGTCGGGGGCAAATCTACCAAGTCACCCTAAAAGCCGGCGAGGAATTCACCGTACACCCCGGAAGTCTTCTAGCATATTCTATCAGCACAGCTTTCCGGCCAATGCCTTATAGGCTTCGCTCAGCGTCGATGCGTCTTCAAGTCCCGAGACTCAATGTCGACCGGCTACTCCCTCAGATTGGGTTTATTAGGGTCATGCGTAATTCCGAGGTGTCTAAGACTATCACTAAAGCTTTCTTTGTCTTCAGGGCTTGGCTGAGGCGCACGATATGGGGTGATAGGGTGAGCCCAATTTTCCCTCTAGGCCTAGGATTCGCTAATATGTGATCTGAAGCTCTTTGTACGATTCCGGGGCCCTGGGACAGTTCTTCTTCAATCGAGATCGGCGCGCATTTCTGATATCCTACGGCCTCATGATGTGAGCGAAGCGGCTACTGTTGAACCGGGAGCCCTTGAACCCTTGGAGCATGCTAGCGGAGGTGCTGTTGGGTCGGTGCCAAAACCTTCTAGCAAGCCTTTACTCCCTGCAAGTAGCTCAGCCATGGATCACAACGGCCTGAAAGTGGTTACAGTGAAAAAAGATGGGAAGGTGGAGTTTGAGGACTCAGATTTTAGGGACTTTGCAAGGAAATAGTAAGGGGAATATTAGACTACTTAATTCTCTGTAACATATACTTTCCGGGTTTGAAAAACGCCTTAAAGCGATACCATCAATTTATACAAATCACCTTAAAAAGTATAAAAGAATCTCCATATAACTTTTGACAAGTCAAAATTGGCCTCTTTTTATGTATATTCTACGGTAATGGAAACTGATCGTAGAAACAAACAATATTAGTCTATGCCCCGGCAACCAGCCTGCTCTCCATCCAGTTGCCAAGTTTATTGACGCTCCCATCCCATTCCATCAGCCTCTGCTTCATATTCTCGATCTGCTCCTTGTCCAATACCTTGGGCTGTACCCAAGAGATCCTGGCTACCTCAGCTACCTGGTCGATACTACCACGGACAAGCCCCAAACTCAACGCCCTCATGAGCAGATGCTCAACTTCCTCGGGGAAAACTCTTGTCTCATCCAGGATAGTCGCAAAGCTCAGGGCGCGATCATGGGGGGGTCGGCGAAAGACAGCTTCCGTGAGAGCTGACAAACAGAGCTTCTCGCGAAGAAACGAGGACCGGCCCTCGAGAAGTGGCTGTTTGGAAAAATGACCACTGAGTCCGTGGAACCGAGTGAGATTTCCCGCATTGAAAGCAAATAAAAGGTCGCGAAGCCAACTGTGTTCGGTACCCTTCAGCGAGTCGAGTATAGGGTGTAGAAGCAGCTCTCCAAAGTTGTATATAGACTCCCCTAACAAAGCGGCGATAGCAAGGTTATAGGCACGTTCCTGTTGCTCCATCTGACTCAAGTCGGCAACATTTACGCAGGCAAGGTATAGAAGTGCGTTCTTGTAGTAAGCAGCGAACTCGAGCTTGGCCTAGAGATGGATTAGATTGCTGCCAGACGGGTGCGCTAAAGAAGTGTCTTACATTATAGTAGTCGGCATTCACACGGTAAAATGAGGCATGAACAACAGACTCCACAGAATCAAATGTTTCTAGATTCTTTTCCGCTTCATCTAACGCCTTCCTTGCGCCCTCCATATCTGCTAGAAGCAGCTTGACCCTAGCAACTTCCACCGTAGCATAGACGTAGGCATCCTTAGAGGTGGGCTTGTTGACCTTTGCAGCAATCGTGGTAAGAAACTCCAAAGCTTCATCATTATCTAATTTATGTCCCGCCGTCAGCGCATGTTTATTGCCAGATGAAATCAGTTTCACAGTTTCAGAGCAGATGGCAGACCTTTGCTCTCCCTAGCGGCTGACAACCCTAGAGTTACAAACTTCAACTGATTGATCTTATCCGAGAATGACAAGACAAAGTGCTTGTATATCGGGATGCGCTGGGGGGTACTTTCTGGGTTCTCGTAAAACTTCAAAAGAGCTTCAGTGAGTTGATGCCACAAGCGGCGTTCCCAGAAATCCTCAAACTCCAAGAAGAGGCTCTGAAGATTGGGCGGGGCAACTTCATCTCGTTGCTGGGCAAGGAACTCGGGGATGGGTTTTGGGTCGAGATCCATGATTCGCCTTTAGTAAAAAAGCGGAGGGGCTGCAGGTCCGTAGATATGAGATGAATATGGAATGGATGAGGTCGATGGATGGAAGTTGTGGATGGGAGGAATTGGTTGTCGAATGCTTTCCTATGATGTGATGCTACCCACCTTCCTGCCTTCTGGTGCGAGTGGAGGGAGCCGCAGGAAAAACGTCTGGCGTTGTAGTTTCCACGTGACTGGCTGACTAACAGCCCTAATATCAGTGAACTCTAATTGTCGGGCGAGGCATCCCGCCTACAGTTCCAGATAGCGATAGGCTCTTTAAGCCCTTAAGAATCTCCACTCCCGCATTTATCCCTGCATCTTGTAGCTCATGTTCGCCGCTACGCAGAGCTGTTCTTCGACTTTACTGCGGAGCATCGTGATGAGGACGCAGTTGTTCAGGGTTGCCCCTCCTATGAGGAGAGCGATTCATGATATCGCAATTACAAGGACCGGGAAGCCTATAATTCGGACCCCGGGGGGTGGCAGGTATGTTCTGGTCTTCTGGGTATATTCTTTTCAACTGGGGAACTCGATTAACACTAAGCGAATAGGTCTTCAATCGGAGGTTTGTCTCATTTACCGGTTATCTAGTCTTCGATATCATACTCATTCAATATATAGGACATACTGCGACTGTGTTTGGGGCCACCGGCTTCCTCGGAAGGTATATTGTGAACAGGCTTGGTATATATGACTATTTCTCAAGGTTAGGGCTTTCCACTGATGGGATTGATGTCATAGCTCGTTCGGGGTGTACCGTTGTCATCCCGTACCGGGAGGAGATGGCTAAGCGTCACCTCAAAGTTACGGGAGATTTGGGCAGAGTTGTTTTCATGGTGGGCAGGTCCGCGCAACATTCCAAGAGACGCTATCTCTAATATAGGACGATAGGAATGGGATATGAGAAATACGCCGTCAATTGAGGCGAGTGTGCGACACTCCGATATCGTTTTCAATTTAGTCGGAAGAGATTACACTACCAAGTTAGTCCCCTAGCAATACGCATAAGAAGATAAGCTTGCTGACTTTGGGCAGGAATTTCACTTATGAGGACGTCCATGTCGAGGCGACTCAGAGAATTGCGGAAGCTATCGCAAAATACGATGTTGACCGATTCATCCAAGTTTCTTCTTTTAATGCTGACAAGAATTCGCCTTCCAAATACTATGCTACTAAAGTTAGTTATACATCCTCCAACCTACAGCAAATATGATGATCTGACGAAGGCATTCAGGGTCAAGCTGAGGAAGATGCCCGCGCAATCTTCCCGGAGACAACTATTGTCAGACCAGGCCCGATGTATGGATTCGAGGACAGACTGCTCCACAGACTGGCCGGCACAACCAATATCTTCACTGCAAATAACATGCAGCAAAAGATGCGACCTGTGCATGTAAGAGCTTCTTAAGACGAACCAAATGGTTCCACACTTAAAAGTTTATGAGGCATATGAGCTCACTGCTGAAATTTGGCAGGTAATCGATGTTGGCAAAGCCCTCGAAGTTATTGCATACGACGATGCTACAGCCAGTCAAACATTTGAGCTGTACGGCCCTAGGGAGCTCACTCTCAAGGAAATTGCGCACATGGTCGACAAGATCGTTCACAAGACACATCGTCACATAAATCTGCCAAAGAAAGCTTTCCAAATGATTGCCTCCGTACTAGACTACTTATGGTGGCCCACAATATCCCCCGACGAAATTGAAAGGCAGCACCTTGATCACAAAATCGATGCTACTGCAAAGACCTTCGGAGATTTGGGCATAGAACCCACGGATATTGAGGCGGATATGTTCCAATACATTAGACATTACCGGTAAGCCTTCAAAATTAAAACCGGCTCCGAAGGCATTACTAACCTAGTTTCCACAGCTCCGCTGCTTATTTCGACCTACCGCCGATGACGGAGAAAGAGAAGAGGCTGGAGAGACAATATCTTCACGTACAGCAGGATCTCTAGAAAATAAGGAGAGAGACGAGAGGGATGTGTGTTGTTATATTTAGGGAACATATATCCCGTAGAAAATCGTACATAGAATCACAACGCAGGTGTTTGCATCGTGACGGGTAAGACCCTGTATATACTGTGTAGCTGGAAGGTATCTTCTCCGAAAGATAACTTTTATTGGAGCTTAGTGTTCGAAGAAGTCTAAGATTGGCGCTGGGCGTGTGATGTTGTGACTACCGTAGAATTCCAGAAATAAGGCGTGCGTCCTATTTAAGATTTTGGATGGGAAAGAGGGTATCTAAGGTATAGGGGTCATGGTTGGGCCAATCACTGATGCGGAAGACATCATTTGCTTATGATAGTTGTTGTGATGAAATAGATTGTAAGAGAAGCTGATCATGACTAAGCATTCAATATCCATTCTACTATCACCAGTACCTTTTCCTTTCTTTAAAGTTAAATACTGCTATATTTCACTGTATTTAAGATTTTGCAATTTCATATCCTGGATCAAATAAGAGAGATATCCTTGTCCTGGAAGATCATTTGACTTGTATCTAGTGTCTTCTCACAAAGTCTCTAATGCCAACTTCAAAGCCACGATCGGATTCAGCTTTGGATCAACCTCTTATCGATCAAAGTTCCCAAGTAGTTTGTCAGGGCCATGTACCAGTTCCAATAGGAGAGCAAACCAAGCATCAGCTTCTTTATGACCTACAGGCTGTTTCAAATCCCAGACCTGTAGAGTGACCTCCACTAGCTGAACAACAAAGAATTACAAGCCATACCAAGATCATAAATCCAGTAGCAGTTGAGAAACGGCAATTCATAGATAACGGTAACTAGAAAGAGAGTAAGTTGAAGAAAGGACGATCAACAAGAAAAGAAAGCTTAAAGGCATTATCATTTTTGGAAAATGCACATGAATGGACTGATGATGAAAATGGTACGTAGTATATCTAACTTTCTTATATATAATAACATAGTCCTGGGGTTTACCTTAGGTGACATGATTCTTCAGCCATTGTCAGTTTGCCGGACTGCAAGCATATTGCACTATAATGAAAGTCAACTACAGAAATGGAAGAGAGAGAAAAATAAAATCCTGAGTGCAAAAGAGAATTCTCGCAGTATTGGTATGAGTTGATAGTACTAAGATTAAAAAATAATGGTTGTTAAACAAGCTTACAGGAAGTGGACTTACTCTAGCATGGCCAAAGATGGATGTGCGATTAGCAGAGATATGGCAGACTGAGGTCAACAATGTACTGAGATTAACTGTAAATGGTTTGAGAGGCAGGCACTTCAAGTCTTTAAGGAAGAGTACCTGGATCAGGTCATGGTAGTAGATGGAAAAAAGATATTCTCTTGTCAACTCTCCAATGATGTAATGATCCCTCCTCGGATGGTTAGTTCTTAGCGATGGGGAACGATACTTCTCTTCTTCTTCTGTTTCTGTCCTTAGTCTTACGATAGCACTAGGCCTCTGCCTACGTTACCAATAGTACAAGACCTTTGTCTTCTATCGGGAACGCCTATTGTAAGCTTTTTCTAACTCTTCTTTGTGAAGAGATTTCCTCGGTGTAATGATAAATGTTGCAATAAAGATAAAGATCGTAAAGTGGTTTTATATTCATTAAAGTGATAAATAGGAAAAGTACTTAGAATTCAATCTAATTTTATTTAAACTTGTACCGCCAACACTGGTATACGATAAGCCCCTGTCGGCACAGGGATACTGCTAACTGGTATACTACTAATCCTAAGCTAACTAAGTCTACAGTCCTGCACCTACCATCCCCGAGTCATACCCGTACGAGAACTAATTACAAGACCATTAACCAACCCAGCACCCTCTCCAGTCCAAGTCTGTAGTCCCTCTGGTATGAAGCCAACCAGTACTAAATGTAGCTAAAGTTGAGTAAAAGACTAACCCGACCAGGTTCCTCATCTAACACATATAAAATTACTACTACACAGTCTTAAAAACCGTCTCGTGAAGCCTTCACCATAGTAGAAAACTAATAGATACAAATCAAACCTACAGACAACACAAGGGTAGGGAGGAGGGAACCAACATGTCAACCTCTCACACCCGCATGCCAGGCTGTTGACCCTGTGAACCCACTTTGCCAGTTGCCTCCGAAGAGCATACCGGTGAGGAGGACCTGTACCCGCTACCTATCCCCCAAACAAAACAACACAAACAGAGGAAATACCTAGAGGTGGTGACAGATCGAAAGGATCAGTGGGGCCTATCTCCCACACATAGTGCCATGCCTCCTCCTGCCAAACCTATAGCTAAACTAAAGAAACCAAACAAACCCCACAAAACCCAGTGCACAAGACCCAAATAAGTCAAACCAGGCGGTTGCAACCTACTATCTGCACAGGTGGCCATCAGCCAGCTGGTCCATCAGGGAGCTTTACGACGCTCAGCAGCTTTGCCCAACAGCCCAAGCCGGACTGGAAACATTTAATTAGACCTCGTCCAACCTGACGCAGGCCTGACCGGTGTTCACAGGTGCCTCTCTCCCCCCAATCAGCCCCCTCCAAGCCCCATACGCCAGATGCCACATGGCCCATCCAGCCCCCCAGCCTCTCAGACAGATCAACCATCCAATAGCCACAGGACAGGCCATACCTAGTCCCATCAGGCAGCCACTGGTCTTAGCTACACCAACAAAGCCCCAACCCCCAGTACCTGGCAGCTGAGGGGGACCCACCAGCCATAGCCAGGAGCCTCAAAGGAGGCAGCACCAATACCCGAAGGTACTGGCACCAGCCACACCATCCAACTCATTTGAACTGAAGTCTAACCAAGCCAGGAAAGAGTAGGCAGAGCCAGCCGAAGCCAGCCCCACAGGTCCGGCAATAAGCACAGACCGAACAATGGGCAAAAGGTACACCCAACCGACGCGACATGGAGGGGAAGGGCGAGCGGACAGGAGCAGACAATCAGAAAGTAGGCCCCACTTGCAATGGGTAAAGCTGCCAACCACAATCCACAACTGAACCACCCAAATTCACAAACAATATGATTGCCTGACAGCCAATCATCCCACACCATCCCAGGCGGTAATGATAAATCACACCAGGCAGTAAGATTTTTCAGAGTCAAAGTTATTTCCACCAAGGCGAGAAGGAGACACCTGACTGAACCACTGTAAATGCCACAAGAACAAAACTTCAAGGGATCGGTGATTAACAACATCGTAGGATTCCGACTATAGAAACGAAAATGTAATAAGGAGGGGCCAGGCGGGCATCACCCTGCCATGTGAGCAATGATGCAGCTGGTACGACGAGTTGATACTTGAGAAGGTCATCAGTCTAACCCAAGGGCGTTTTGTATTGTGAGAACTAAGGACTCGGTTAAAACCAAACAAGAAATATGAGCTGGCCCAGAAAATGACAGGGGTGATCCCTTCAAATACAATGTTCAATCTCCCACCAATCGAATGTGAAACCTGCGAGTAGATGATAGACAGGAAGCCGAAGACATTTTACCGAAAGGGGCTCGTAAGTGACCATGATGAATACCTTGAAGTGCCAGCATCGTGAGATAACTAGCAAGCAACGAAATGAGAAGCAAACAAGTAGTCAGCCACACAGTACCAACAAACCCCAATACCAAAAGCCCTAGGAACTACTAAGTAAACTCAGATATCTGCCCCAGAATCCAAGGCAATAAGGCCCATCATGGGTGTGAAAGAAACGCGCGTGGCGAGGTGACGGCAAAGACGTGGAAAAGTACTCAGAATTCAATCCAATTTTATTTAAACTCCTATGGCCAACACTGGCCTACGACGAGCCCTCGCCGGCATAGGGATACTGGTAACTGGTATACTACCAATCCTAAGCTAACTAAGTCTATGGTCCCACACCTACCATCCACGAGTCATGCCCCTACAAGAACTAATTACAAAACTATCGAACAACCCAGTGCCCACCCCAGTCCAAGTCTGTAGCCTCTCTGGTATGAAGACAACCAGCACTAAGCGTAGCTAAAGCTGAGTAAAAGACCAACCCGACCAGGTTCCTTGTCCAACACATATAAAATTACTACTACCCAGTCTTTAAAATCATCCCGTGAAGCCTCCACCACAGTAGAAAACCAATAGACACAAACCAAACCTACAGACGACACAATAGTAGGGAGAAGGCAACCAACATGTCAACCTCTCTCACCCACATGCCTGGCCATCGACCCTATGAGCCCACTTTGCCGGTTGCCTCCACAGAGCTTAGCAGTGAGGAGGACCTGTACTAGCTGCCGGTCCCCCAAACAAAAATGCAAATATTAGAAATACATAGAGATAGTAACAGACTGAAAAGGTCAGTGGGGCCTATCTCCCACAGGTGGTACCATACTCCCTCCTTCCCAACCCGTAGCCAAACCAAAGAAACTAAATAAACCCCACAAAACCCAGAACACAAAACCCAAATAAGTCCAACCAGGTAGTCGCAACCCACTATCCACAGAGGTGGCCATTAGCCAGCCGGTCTGTGGGAGAGCTTTACAGCACACAGCAGCTTCCCTCAACAGCTCAAGCCAGACTGGCAATACTTAATTAGACCTCGTCCAACCTGACGCAGGCCTGACTGGTGCTCACCGGTGCCTCCTCCCCCTAATCAGCCCCCCCCAAGCCACACACTCCAGATGCCACAGAGCCTATCCAGCCCCCCAGCCTCTCAGGCAGATGAACCATCCAATAGTCACAGGACAGCCCATACCTAGCCCCATCAGGCAGCCAGTAGTCTAGGCCGTACCAATAGAGCCCCAACCCCTAGCACCTTGTAGCCGAGAGAGACCCACTAGCCATAGCTGGGGGCCACAAAGGAGGCAGCACTAATACCCAAAGACGCCAGCATCAGCTACACCATCCAATCCAGCCAAACCTAAGTCCAACCAAGTAGGGAAAGAATAGGCAGAGCCAGCCAAAGCCTGCCCTACAGGTCCAGCAACAAGCACAAACCGATCAACGGGCAAGAGGCACCCCCAACTGATGCGACATGAAGGGGGAGGGCAAATGAACAGGAGCAGACAAAGAGAAGGTAGGCCCCACTTGCAATAGGTGAAGCCGCCAACCACAATCTGCACCTGAACTCCCCAAACGTAGAGACAATGCGAGTGCCTGGTAGCCAATCATCCCACACTACATCAGGTAGGAACAATAACCACACAAGGG